TTCAAGCATGTTTTGTTAATAACATTTCTCTTCAATCAATCAAGCCAACACCTCTTTCTTGGCCACTCGATGCTTCCATCGGTGCAATAGGTGGGAATTACTGTGGCTCTGTGATTTTGTAAAATCGTAGTACAGCCCTCAATGCCGACATCGCTACAAAAGCCAACTCTTACCTGTGCTCAAATAAAGTGGGGTTCCAATAAGAATAAGAATAATCAGTGGCCCTACCTGTGCTCATCAGGACAACGAAAGTGTTATTTTTGTCTAAGGTAGTTTCACGCCAAAATACTAAGGCATTCACTTTCCGAAAATCAAGTCGCCTTCAGTCTAGTAGGTGCTGTCCCACAAAGTATAAATTTGACGAGCAACGTTTCGGAAACTGAAGTTCTTTATTACAAAAATGTATTAGTGTTAATTAAAGGATGACAAAAGTGTTACAAGACACTTACGAGGAGAAAGGCGGAATACTTTGGCTAATCAGTAGACCAAATCTGGAATGTGCACATTATTCTATTAGCAAAACATATATGTGCTTATCCCTCCACATCGTTCCGCATAACCAGCGTTGTTGATGCAGGGATTAAATCCACACAAAACCAAGTTTCCCCGATTCTCATCTCGTCGTAGTGTGCCAAAGGTGAAAAAGTAGACAGTTAATCTATTACGCGTTGACTCGTTTCCGCCAAAGACGTCAAGTCGTTTTCATGTTGCTGCACAGTGACGTCGTCAAACTCATGAGTAGTTTAGCGTGGAGGTGATGCGTATACTTGCTTAGGAGCGCCATATATGACATGCGCATTTCATCATCATAAGTCTTCATAATTTCGAGGTTTGCGTAAACGATGTCTGCGTGTCTCAACAGTTCCGCCCACAATTCAACCTAGATCTGGTTAAACTCACTAATGCGCTTCTCAAAGGCCAAATAAATGTTGGCAAAGTGTCTCCGTGACGCCACATTGAAAGGTTGCTGTAAAGTTTTAAAAAAAGCCACATACACAGCAGGAAAGCCGCTGGAGTAGGGGCTTTGTGGCCTTGCGAGTCTCTCCCAAAGTCGTGACGAGCCACAACAGCGTGGAGGAAGAGCTATTGGTAACGTGCAGAGACTGGGGCACCGCAGGCATGATCAGGGACCTGTGGAGTCTGAATGGCCCTTGTAGTTTAAAATACCGTTAAACAAACAGCAAATCACCACATGGCTCTTCCCATTTGA